CACCGTTGTTCCAAACTTTAATAATGACTAACAAAAAAGAAGCAGCATAAATACGTTTAGGCCCTAAAAATAAATCAGAATTTGCTATGAGCATCAGATGTACAGTCCTGCTCACCATTATTGGCACCCCTTCATGATTTGCGTAGCTGAGTGAATATCTTCAGAAATCTATCTTCAATTTGAGGTCCAAAGTAATTTAACAAAGACAATTTCATTTTTTTCCAATTTAATTCCAAAGGACAAAACAGAAAACCAGCATGTGCACTAATATTGACACCCCTCTTTAATATTTGGTTGCGCAGCCTTTGGCAGCAATGACAGCCTCCAAACGTTCCTTATATTCATCTATACGCTTCTTGCACTTCTCGGGTGGCATTTTCTCTCACACTTCTTTTGCAATATGCTCAAGCTCTTGCACATTTGCTGGGTTCCTTCCTCCAATGGCAGATTTCAGCTCCACCCAAAGATATTCAATTGGATTGAGATCAGGACTCATTGCTGGCCATTTTAAAACAGTCCATTGTTCCCCTTTCAACCAGGCCTGTGTGCTTTTGGAGGTGTGCTTTGGGTCGTTGTCTTGCTGGAGGACCCAGGATCTTCGCCGCAAACCAAGTTTCCTTACACTGGGCAAGACATTTCGCTCTAGAATTCCTTGATAATCTTCTGATTTCATGATGCCTGTGATACGGTCAAGGACTCCAGTACCAGATGCCGCAAAGCAGCCCCACAGCATTATGGATCCTCCACCATGCTTTCCTGTTGGTATGGTGTTCTCATCTTTAAAGGCTTCATTGCGCCGCCTGTAAACATACTGTATGTGTGATTTACGGAAAAGCTCCACTTTTGTTTCATCTGTCTATAAAACGTTGTCCCAGAAGGTTTGTCCAGCTTCTCTTTGTCGAAGATCAAACATTCTTTTTTATGTCTTTTCTTCAGCAATGGGGTCTTCCTTGGCCTCCGCCCATAAAGCCCCACTTTGTTTAGTGTGCGGCGTATGGTACTTGTTGAAACAATCACACCAGACTGCTCCAGGTTGGTCTTCAGGTCTTTAGTTGTTAGACGTGGTGTTTTCTCCACCATTCGCACCAACCGTCGAAGACTTCTGTCATCAATTTTTCTCTTCCCCCCACATCCAGGGAGGTTCTTGACCGTTCCATGCCTGGAAAACTTCTTAATAACATTACACACCGTTGAAACAGGGATACCAAGGTCTTTGGAGATGGCTTTATACCCTTTGGAGGTCTTGTGCTTGAAAATAATAGCATTTCTGATGTCCTCAGACAGCTCCTTTGTCTTTACCATTGTCACATGTGGAGATGAACTAACAGGTGGCTTTTAAAGCACCAACATGATTATTCATTGGTTAATTCATGTCACATGTGTGGAGGCAGTCCATCACAAGTGATCTTTATGTGTGATTTGCAACAGGTGAGTCAAATTGGGTTTTCATATTGATTTGCAGCAAAGGGTGCCAATACCATTGGCATGGTAAAAATGATGTTTTTTCTTTGTTTTCCTCATAATGTTTATCTTTTTAAATGCTGTTTTATCATTTGCTGTTTTGCATCAAGCACAAGCTATCAGCAGTAAAATGTTGTTTCACTTGATGAATTTCCTTCAGTAAATATTCCATTATATGTACTTAAACTTCATGGGTGCCAATAATGGTGAGCAGGACTGTAGATAAAAGCTTTATAGAAACCAGAGGTCAAAAATTGGCCCG